ACAATGACACTTTTTGCACTTTCGGTTTGCACATTCAATTGCATTGAATTAGGAAATGAAAACAGAATCGATCCGGAATTTCGTTGCCAAAAAAAGAACGTATCGAGATTCTCTTGTGTTTGAGAAAGAAAAAACATACAGAAAATAGAACAGAAGACGGTAGCAATTTGCAATATCAAGAGTTTCATTAGGATTTTTCGTTCGTTTGTACTTTTATGTGGGAATTAATTTTAAAAAGGTTTCTTAGATGCTGTGATTTTAAAATAACAGTTAAACAAAATCATAATAGAAAATTTACAACAACAAAAAAACATCAACAACAAGAAAAAAGATGAGATGTCGAAATATTGGAGGGGATTTTTTTTTTGGAAGTCAACGCATATTCGACAAACACATACACACACACACAAACTCACAATTAAATTCTAATGAACTCAAAAGTAATAATGAATTTATTTCCTTCTTTGGTTTAGTTCATTTCGGTCAAGTATTTAGTTTTTCCAAAGTTATTCGAGCTTAGTTAGCCTTTAAAAGTAGTTCACATTACATCAAATCAGCTTCAATTACATGCAATAGCATCACATAGTGAAATATATCTGAATCAGCTATATCTGGAATTGGAAAACTTTCTCTGCATTCTAGAAAATGTGGATTGAAAAGACGTTGCAAAAGTATCTATACGTGTGATTCATTTTGATGAGCATAATTTTTTGGAAGATTAAGAAAACTCTTGTACGGAACAGCTATGCGTTCGTTTTTTTATGATAGATTTGAGTTCAGGATGCTACACATTTATTTGGATAATAGATTTTGCAAACAAATTGCACATAGACATACGCACACTGTAGCGTAGATACTTGGTTTTTCTTGCGGTGTATACACCATGCCTCCAAAAAACTTTTTCCACTAACTATGTCCAATTAAAATTCACACACATTGAAAATTCAAAGAAAAAAAATACACGCACCACACATTTCACAACAAAAGCTCAATTTCAATTCTCATCACTTAGTGTTTGGATTCTGCAATGTGTGCACATTTTGCGTTTTTGTACGGATATGAAAAGTGACTTTGTGCGGTGTCGCTGAGCAGCAGCAGCAGTAAACGATTTTGATGCAGTCACAATGATTGTTTTGATCATGAGTCAATGCAAGCTCTTTTTTTGTCAAGCCAACCGAACAATTTGGCCTTTTGAGGTGGCAAAAGTCAGAGAGATAAGAAAAAAAAATATAGGAAAAATTTATTTACATATATTGAATCAATATTATTGATGTAATTTTGCACCACATTTCAAGTCAAAGAGCGTGTGTGCAAAAACCCCTCTCGAAGACTTAATTACAAACTGAACAAGGTTTTTTTATAATGAATAATAAATACAAAGCAACAACAAACAAACAACAACAAAAAACATTTAATGCAATTTTGACACTAAATAATAAAATTCGAGTCTATTTTTTATGTTCTCGTTCCAAATTTTCTTTCAATCATGTAAACGACTTAGTACAACACAATATTCAGCATATATTGGTATTCTCAGCAAAACAAGAAAAATATATATACTAGGGCGGGTCGATTTGTAGGGAGTGAAAAAATTCGACAATTTCCCTATGATTTCCGTATTCTATGGGTTATTTCAAGAAAATTTGCCCAAGGAACCATACCTCTATCGTTAAAATCGAGTCCCCTACTTTTTGTAGGTAGATTTTTTTCCAAAATTGACGTTCGTAAGAAATGTTACCTACACGTTCACATCCATAACTCAAAAACTATCGATCGGATCTAATCGCCAGTAGGCGCGTTGGAAAGGTGAGCTCATTCTGATCAATTTACAAAACATAACCTCCAACATTGGTCCTACGGTTCAAAAGTTACGGGCATTTTTGTCCAAATTTTGAACCATTTTTCCATTTTTTTCATGATTTTGTCCAAAAATATTACTTTCATGGCCATTTTTTAGGCTCAATCCATTATTTTATTCAATTTACAATTCAAAACGAAGAGTTTAAGCCCAAATTTATCGAATTCGGTTGATTAGTTCAGGCGATATTGCTAAAACAAAATAACACATAAAACCAACTTTTTGATTTTTTTTCCCCTTTTTATTTTTTTTCTACAAAAATTCAAATTAAGAGATAATAAAGTATCTATCAACCTATAATCAAAAAAAAAATATTCAATTTGAGCGAAATATAACGTATTTTTTCAAAACAATACTCTTTATCAACATAAGTGTATAATATACACTGTATATCGACAAATGATTGAATCGCACCTTATTGTTTTCACTAATTCAATATTTTCAATTCATTTAAAACAAAAGAAATCGAAAAGAGTACCTTGAATGCATTTCGGTACTATCGTACCATCATCAGCATCACGACTAAACAGAAAAGTCGTCGGTTGTCACGCAAAAACATCGGTCGGTGCAACATCATAGCAAACGAGACAGCAAATTTGACTCGATGTTCCCGTTATCCAGATTCAATGCGTTGTTGCTCCTCTGAATAAAGTAACTTTCGTATGCGTCCAATTTGCGCGCGTCGCCTATCTCTTTCACCAGCCGTAAGTTGCTTATGTCGATATTCAAATGACCGCTGTTCAATGCATGTAATGCTAAGGCAGAGCGGTAGCCCTGTTTATTTTTTATGCACAAACAATGTTCACGGAAACGAACTGAAATGTTACGTTTCGTTTGTCCAATGTATTCACACATACAAATTGGACGCATACGAAAGTTACTTTATTCAGAGGAGCAACAACGCATTGAATCTGGATAACGGGAACATCGAGTCAAATTTGCTGTCTCGTTTGCTATGATGTTGCACCGACCGATGTTTTTGCGTGACAACCGACGACTTTTCTGTTTAGTCGTGATGCTGATGATGGTACGATAGTACCGAAATGCATTCAAGGTACTCTTTTCGATTTCTTTTGTTTTAAATGAATTGAAAATATTGAATTAGTGAAAACAATAAGGTGCGATTCAATCATTTGTCGATATACAGTGTATATTATACACTTATGTTGATAAAGAGTATTGTTTTGAAAAAATACGTTATATTTCGCTCAAATTGAATATTTTTTTTTTGATTATAGGTTGATAGATACTTTATTATCTCTTAATTTGAATTTTTGTAGAAAAAAAATAAAAAGGGGAAAAAAAATCAAAAAGTTGGTTTTATGTGTTATTTTGTTTTAGCAATATCGCCTGAACTAATCAACCGAATTCGATAAATTTGGGCTTAAACTCTTCGTTTTGAATTGTAAATTGAATAAAATAATGGATTGAGCCTAAAAAATGGCCATGAAAGTAATATTTTTGGACAAAATCATGAAAAAAATGGAAAAATGGTTCAAAATTTGGACAAAAATGCCCGTAACTTTTGAACCGTAGGACCAATGTTGGAGGTTATGTTTTGTAAATTGATCAGAATGAGCTCACCTTTCCAACGCGCCTACTGGCGATTAGATCCGATCGATAGTTTTTGAGTTATGGATGTGAACGTGTAGGTAACATTTCTTACGAACGTCAATTTTGGAAAAAAATCTACCTACAAAAAGTAGGGGACTCGATTTTAACGATAGAGGTATGGTTCCTTGGGCAAATTTTCTTGAAATAACCCATAGAATACGGAAATCATAGGGAAATTGTCGAAAAAAAAATCGACCCGCCCTAATATACATTTAAATATATATATATATATTTAATCGAGTTAGTAGGAAATATGAGTTAGTAGGAGAATGCTCAAAATATACTCAAAAACAAGCAACAACAAAAATGAAACAGCCACATCATTAGTGTTGACATAAATTAAGTATGTATTCAAAGGAAACAGAAAAAGAAATAACAACAACAACAACAACAAAGGACGTGGTAATAATTTGACAAAAAATCTTTTTATGTATAAATATGTTGTTAATTCATATTCAAGTTAATAAAATTTGTGTGTATAGCAACAAAAATGCGAGCATTTCTTTTCATTTTGGCTTTTTCTGAATCGTTGATTTTCATTAGCTTGCCTTGTTCAGCTTGCCTTGCCCGCATTATGATTATAATTTTGTAGTCTGGTGTTATGCTTTTTTTTTATTTGAAGGTAAGAGTCTTTGCTTTGTCATGTGCTTTTATTGAATTTGTTCTGCAATTGCTGCGTAATTGAAGCTTTGCTGCTGCACGCGCAAGACAGAGTGAGTGAAGGGAAAAACTTTCCGTTTGCACTTGACTGGAGCTTTGCAGAGTTATGTTTTGAGTATAAGCTTTTTGAAGCAGGTCTCATGTGTTTTGTGATGTGAATGGTACTTGCGTATGGTGTAAACTGTCAGGAGTTATCAACACAGAAGGTTATATATTGTGCGCTCATAACAAATTCACACAGCAAATGTACACAGCATCCTTCAAAATCACCACCAACAACAATAACAACCACAACACCACCGTTCGACTAGACACAGATCCAAAAATGGATGACTGCGATCCATACAAATGTGGAAAATCCACAGGATGAGAACGAGAGATTCGTTCACGGACTAAATATGTGTGAATGTAGCCGATGGGAGCATACAAAGAATGAAATGTAAGCCGAAAAACCAAAATACATACATGAAAACGACGCAACGCAATAATATGCTCACGCTTTTACAGTACAAAAATTTTCTCCCACGATTCGCTCCCTCTCTGTGTGTGCGAGTGTGTTTGCATCATCTGCAAACGTTTTGTGTGCCGAATCTCCAATGCTCAACCATCCTTATTGCTTTTGCTCTTATTCCGTATCTTCTCTCCGTCGTCGATGCGTGTATGTGTGTGGGCTGGCATGGGCATTGGTGTTGGTGTTGATGGTTGAGAGCAATTTCGGTATGTCTGTATGTGTGCATGTGTGTGTATATGTATCGTTGCAAACTCATCTCGCGCTCTCGCCTCAGCCATAACTTCCTAAATAGAGAATTTTTTTCTTCAATTGTGTGTTGTGTGCGAAGCGTTTGATTTCGAGTTTGTCTTCCGCGTTTATACATTCATATAGCAATTTTCTCTTCGTTTACATTCTTTTGTTTCATTGTGTGGTTTCTGTATTGACACACACACACACATACTGTGTCTATTTGCAGCAGAGCATAGTGTCATTTGTACCGACATATGTAGATCTCTAATTTTGATTGTAGTCTCCCTAAAAACATGAACAAAAATAAAACGAAGTAACTAACAAATATAAAACATTCATTAACATTCAGCACAACATTTCGGACTACGAAATTTTTGGTTGCGTACGAAGGACATGTGAAAAGTGAAGTGTGTGTACACGAAATAAAAGCGATTTGGACGGGAGCTTAAAGGAAATTAGCAAGAAGAAAACGAAGAAGAAACAGTAGAGAAAGAGAGAGAGAGAGAGAGATAAAAAAAATATTGTGTGTGCGTTGTTTTTTTTTCACATTCAACATCGTTACCAGCGAAGGGCGAATAATGTTGTTACTGTTGTGTGCTTTTTGATGCTGTTCATTTTTTTACGTGTATCATTCGTCACAAGAATGGATTGAAGTGTTTGATGATTTTCGGTCGAGAAAATACACTGTGTATGCAACCACACACAGAAAGCGAACCCACAATCACACACCGTTCAAACGTCGAAGATAGGAAACACGTCAAATAAAAATATACACACATTTACTTGTCACAAAAAAATGGTTTCTCCCGGGAATATGCTCGGTTCATTTTGTATTGTACAACGACAAAAACGAGTAGTGCCCATTGTGTACAGGATGCTGTTTGAGGAAAAAATCAAGTAAAATCGATTCCAAAGTGTTCGAATTGCAATAGAATTTCATTGATTGATCCAGCAATTTGGAGACAATAGTAAACAACAACAACAACACCAATAAAAAAAATCGTTTAATTTGTTGTTGCTGCTCTTCTTACTTGGCTACCAAAGTTGAAGTGATGCCAATTAACGGGTATGTTTTTGTTGCAACGAATCAAAAAAGGTTTCGGCATACGCCATTCTTCCAGTAAATCACCGCACGTCATTAATTGAGATTGTGTGTCTTGGCTCGGCGTTTATTTCATTTACGTGTTTATTCATTTGAATGAGAGCATTCATTCTTTCGTTTTCATTTCATTTCATTTCATCCATGCCATTCAATTGGTTATAATTATAATTTCATTTTCGGTTGTGCTGCTGCTGGTGTGTGTTCGCAACTTGTACGTTGTGTCATGTGACGTGTTTGCGTTCAATAACAATTGAATGGAAAAAGGATTTTTGCAACGCAATGCATGAAAACATTGCTGGTGGCTTGCTGATGCCACTGCTACTGCTTCTCCACCAACACAGAGAAATATAACGCCGTGAGCAGCAGCAGCAGCAGAAGAAGAAGAAAAAGAAGAAGAAGAAGAAGAGGAAGAATGGGATACAAGCCATAACATTGCAATTTGCGTGCTCATTTGATAATATGTGGCAAATACGTGCCATTTTGCTGTGCAAATAATAAATTGAGACGAGATTTTCTGCGACGATGAAATTCCACTTGGAATTATTAGTGTGTGCATGTGTCAAGCCAGAATAGATACACACACACACACACACACACACACAAACACACATAAGGAATCTCAGCCAAAAATAATCGAATTAAGTGTACGTAGAAAATGTTCTCAAATGTTTTTCAATTGTTCAACTAATATTAGTGCTGTAAAAACAGAAGAAGAAAAAATCAAAACGCGTATACGGTAGAGAAATATTTGGGTGCTATTATTTTCGTTGCCAGCGTCCAAGTAGTGTGAAAGAGTGAGCAAACGAACTAAGCAGATATAAAGAAAAAGCTGTGTGTAAACTGAACGAAACGGAGTGGAAAAGTGTTCGAAGAGAAATTCATAGGCCTATGAAAATATGATGTGATTCCAAGTTCCAAGAGTGATTTACAAAGATATTGGGACATAATAAATTGTTTTGATCCTTGTGCAATCAATCAATTATTATCAGTGATTGTACTTCGTTTTTTGTTTCAACCCACCCCAACGATGTGCGAATCATTTTGAATGGAAAAAGAGGTAATTTGCTTTGAACAGTCTCTCTGAGCTTAATACACAAATCCACTGCCCTCCACTCCCCCCACACACACACATACACACATACACGCATCCACACACAAAAAAATCGAAATATTGTTGGCATCATATTTTATGGACTCGCCAAAAGTTTTAGTTGGATATTATTGTGTTGCGGTGGATTTGATTTTGGCAACCGTACAGCAAGCAATATGAGATTCAATGAAGGCCACTTATTGATTCATTCAATAATAAATCATTGTGACTGCGGCAAAGAAGCGAGCGAAACGTCCCCCCTTGCATTATATACACAAATGTAAATGGAGATGGGGAGAGTCACATTTCGGTAGCCCGGGTCTCACAAAATTGAATTTGGAATGAATTTAAGAGCACGAGAGGTGTTTACGAGATAAAAACGCCTTGACATTTCATACATTGAAAATTCGTCTCGTCCACACCACTGTGTGTGGCTGTGTGTACATAGCCAGCCAGCCAACGGCATTGTTTTGCCATTGTATTGTGTGCATGTTTTGCAAATACGGCCTAAATTAAGGAATTACGGAAAAAGTGAATGAGGAAGAGGAAGAAAATGTTTTCATTGAATATTTTCGAATTGCGTGGAAACAATGTTTCCTTATGGCATCGCATCCAACACATTAAATCACAATTTATAGTTTGATGCGTCAACAAAAGCGCTTTTCAACGGATCTCTAGTAAACATCACATCGCATTATATTATATTAAACGTGTGCTCTATAGAGGCATCTTTACTTCATATAAATAACGCTATGGTAGTTTTTCATTCGTCTTCTTCTGTTCGACACTCGATAACGACGACTTGAATATAGATTGCGGCATTTTATATTTGTCCACGCTGTGGCTATGCGACGCATTGTATGTGACGTTGCATGAATTTCAAAGCCAGTATATTTGGCACCATTTTTGGATTTTCCTCGTGATTTTTTTGTCACTCAATTCTTCGAACTCATCATCCTGTGAGCTTTTGCCTGAATGAAATTTTTCGCACTTATAAATGAGAAACCAATTCAAAATATATTCAAATTGATTTTTGGGCTTCTTTTTCGCCCGAAAAACATTCTTACCCGCAAAAAAGAAGGATACGAGAATGAGAAAAAAGGCGATTTGAAAACCGCCCAACGATTGCATTTCATATCATTGTATCAAATTATTTGGAATGAAACATTTATATTTTTTTCGCTTCTTTTCGCTTCAAATCAAATACTTGCTTAATGTATTAGCGAATCCTTCGAAATGCATAATTTTGCTCGTTTCGGTGTGAAAGGCAGAGAAGAAGAAGAATGAAAAAAAAACGGCGAAATCCAGCAGCGCTAAACAATGTGGATAAATTTGTTAGTGTATGTGTGTGTGTGGTTTGTTGGAGATACGTATCGCTATTTACAGAAAGACTTGAGCTTTATAATAGAAATAATCGGGTTTCGTTCAATTTTTTCCCTTCTTCTGCGTTTTCATCTTCTTTTTTTCCCTCTAGCTAGACTCTATGTGAGGCTGAATAAGTACAGCATTTGCAGATTCATAACGAATTTTCATGATCAAAGTGAATGATAAATAAGAATAAAATTGCGTGTTACAAAGAGACGGCTTAAATAGTACACTAATCCGAAACGAAAAAAAGAAGAAACATATACAACGAAGTAGAAAGAAAACTAACACACACACACACACATACGCACACATACACATATATTCTGTTTTTTTTTCGCTTATCGTAATCAACATTATTATATCATCATGACATCCGAAACCGATTACCATCGTTTCGAGCTAAAAGATCAGAAGCGCCCGATTCGGCCGAAATTATTGAAACTGACGGATGATGGTCGCAGCAGGAAAAAGAGTAAATTCAAGGTAATTGATAGAAACAACACACACACACACACCGAGCGACAGAAGAGAGAGAGAGAGAGAGAGAGAGAGAGAGAGAGAGAGAGAGAGAGAG